GAAGGGGGGGGGGGGGGCGGAGCGGGCGTCCCCTCTGCTTCTCTGTGGCTAATCCACAGTCTTCATCCGACTCGGACTGCGCTTGAAGAATGTGGAAAAGCTTTTCTCGCTAATGTTCCAGAGGCTGATTGAGCTGACCGAGCGAGTCGTCGACGCGACCACTCGTGAAGAATAATTGACAGGTCGCTCGCGAAGTTCGCAACTTTCCCTGACGTCATAGAAACTCTCCTGGGAATGCAATCGAGAATCGGATCATCGTTTGGAGCAGGCTCTGCACGCTCTTCCTCCTGCTGCGACTGCTTCCGATGATGATAAGGGGTCTCCTGCCAAGCGATCTCGCTCTGTTTTGGGCGTTTCCGATTTTTCTCGTCATTTGGAGGATGTTGCAGAGGCGATGACATCACGGGGCTCAACGTTTAACCCTCGTGCTGAAGCCATGACTCTACAGCCACCTATGTATGCCCCTGAATTACATTTAGGTCGGAAATCGCGTCGTCGCAATGTTAGGGCTTGAGAAAACCTATGTAGAACATTGGATGTGCTCATAGCAAGCTTGGTAAGTTGATAGTGTAAGTATTCCTATTGCAAGACACTACTTGAAATGGACCGATGTAGCAAGGCAATAGCTTTGAGCTTCCCAAACTTGAGACTGCATCGTCTGTTAGGTTCTTAGTACTTCTTAGTACTTCTTAGTACATAATCGCTCATAATGAAAGAAAATTAACCTTGACGACCTCGTCTATCTGCGTATTCCTTTTGCAGATTTTGCGCATTCGCTATGACATCTCGCACCCGTGTGATCACATTAAACGACTCATGATGAATGAGACTAGAGTGCTCTTATACTTGCGCTTCACATTAACATCATTGATTGTATCAATTTGGGAGGCAAAGATTTGCCGAGCTCCTCCCACACTCACATCGGAGACACCACCCATCGCAAAAAGCAGTAATTGCGGGTGTCGCAAGTCACTCATAAAAAATGGCGTGAATTCAGTGGATGAATGAACCAAATTGTTTATAGGAAACTCAACCAATGGTCGAACCGAATTGCGGGATATTCCTCACAGTAGCTTCTCAACACATTACTGAACACTAAGTTGGCATGTTCTGTTTGCCCATCGGTCTCGGGGCGTATACAAACGAGCGCCAAGAATTCGAAACGATTCTCTTTAAAAGACACTCGTAAATCGTGTAACACGATCAGAGACAATAACGTCTGACAACCCGTGGTTGCGAAATGGAATTGCTACACAGAGCGATGCGAACCATCTTGCTGAGTCTGTCACCAAAGACGAGCACCCCATTGTTGTCATCAACATTCGCGGGGAAACCAAAGAAAGTTGAGATCGAGTGACTTCTTGCAAACATTATGAACAGGGTACTCTGCGGTGGCACCTGCGTGTGCTGTCCACTCTTTACATGCTGACAGACACCTCATGTCTTCACATAGCGTGCCACTCACTTGTACATGTGGAACACCAAACCCGGGCACTAAGTACCTGGTAAGTCCTCTCACGGCTCGAAAAACCGGCCATCGGTTTACCATGCTCCTCGTACACAATCGTGTACTTCATATCATCGGTTAAGGGAACCACAATCCGTGGCTTGACGCCATGTGCAACTTTATAGTTAAGGATACCATCTATCCATTTATAACGATGCAGCCATGATTTCAAGCGACCAGGAAGCTTGTCATGAAACTCCATCTCACTCGGTGACAGTGCTCTGATCATTACATCACACTGTTTATCCTCAACATATACTCGACGTATCATATCCAATATATCGTTTTATTATGCGCTAGTTCATAACCAGGATGACGTGACAATACGTCTGCCTGTATGTTCAGTACCCTGGCTTGTGCGCGACGTGGAGTTGAATTCAGCAAAGAATGACACCAGCGAGCCATTTGCTTTGACAAGTGAGGCGACTGAACTGCATAGAGCAAGCTTGCGTGATCCATGTAGCGATAAACGAGGTTGAATCCAACAGGTGAACACGAAACTTCACCAGAGCATATTTTATTGCCAAAAAAATTCTTCTGCCTAGTCTTAGGCAGAAGAATGTTCCCTGGCTCCAGGTATCGCGATTAAAATGACGCGACACGATCGTGATCTTCTGGGAACTTCTGCAAAAGCGCACAATCGATGATTAAGATGGACCACAGTTTTCAGCTTACAACTTAGCACATTCTTGCGCACATCGGTACCTGACACATCATAGTAGGGTTTCCTCATATCTTGCAATAGCGCCTTCCAATAGAATACACACCATACCATCCATATTTAAATCAAGTCTAAGCCCACTTGCCGAGGTGAAACATCCGCAAGAGGCACTATTTTGGGCGCCATGTGCACGGGATCATCTAGTCCTATAGACATCCTTAGGACCTCAGCCTTGATGAGCCAATTTCGTTAAATCGGCCAGCTTGATATGGTCGAGCAGTAAGATACGGCTACCTCAAGGGGCACTACACAACCCAATATATATTGAGATAGATCGAGGGACAATACTGTACCCAAGACCCGAGCATACAATATTCTCGGCGTGGAACTGAAAGCTTAATGGTGCACCCGCCAGCAGAGCATTAATCTTAGCTGAATAACGCATTCGCCATCTAAAGGGTGATACATACAGCTGACTTCATTTCATCGTATAGCGTCGAGTATAATTGCCCGACGCCCCGGAATTAATAAGGATCTTTCATGGCTTCTCAAAGCCCTTCACGGTCGCTATTACGACCACCATGCCCGACTTGCATACACGTTCCGTGTTCAAGAGCACGAAACTCTTCGGGGCTGGACCCTGCTGCCCTTTACCTCTTTGAGGCTCCACAGAACTCCGTTCTTCCCCAGTATGGCGCCCCGCCCCTACTGAGTTTTGTCTTTCCCCACGACAAAGCAGACTGGTTAGAAGCGGGACGTTAGTTTGATAGACGTTGACGCGCCTTCCACAGGGTTCAACTTGTTCGAAGGTGACGGGTGTCTCCACCGAAAAAACACCGTTGGGTATTCAGACGCTGGTCAGCTGCTGGAGCTCCTCCTCCTCTTTATCTGCATAGCTAAGATCCATTGGCTCAGGCCCGCTCGACGAGCTCTGAGGGTGTGTATTTCAACTAAGTCGTGCCGACGTCAAGCTGAATTTGGCAATCAATGCCATGTTCACCTCTTCTTCAAAAGAAGACAGACGCACACGGTAGATTTCCATTCTGACCACGCCAGTGCGGAGGCCCTCTATAAAGACGGTCACTGCGACTCCCTCGATCAGAGGATCGGCTGTCATTCCGGCAATGAGAGTTTGCAACTCTTGGACAAAGTCCATCAACTCCTTCTTGTACTGTCGGGTGGTAAGGAAATGTGATCACAAGTGATATCCCGATTTAGGCGGCGAGAACACTCGTGAAAGTTGCGGCTTTTGCTCCGTCCAGGAGGTAAACGCCGCTTCGACCGAAGGGCCACACGTCTATACTCATTTTTGCGCTCGACCTTCGAGCTTGGAGATAGCTAGCACCACGCGCTGTTGCTCATTATCGAACATGGGATGCCATGGCCATCTCGGCCTCTCCCACCTGGAGCAGGATATTTTCCCCATTCTTACCCTCGAAAGTCTTAACGCTGACCATGACTGGCCTGGGTCGGGAGGAGTCATCTTCTGCTGTTGGCGCTGTAGCAGAGCATTTTAATCATCGGAAAACGACTCTAGGTGCGCGCTTATTACTTCTATCCTTGCAAAGCAAGGCGTTGCACGCCCTCAGGGCCAAGGAGAGACATCAGCTTTTTAAGCCCGTCGTGTATGCCCTGGGGCAAATAGATGAGCTGCTGTATCCTCACAGAGGATCAGTCGTAACGGCTCAGGTGTAGATTGACTACGAGTGCTACCAAGTTCTGCAGGGCTAGCTTAGACTTTTGCTTAGAGGAAGCTAAGCTAAAATCGGTGAATTTGCTTTCTATACTAGAACTGTAATGAGTGTAGCGGATCGCAATCCGCAAACTCCAAAAGTACCCAAAATCTTAACCCAAGGCAAATACACTCTTTCACTCAAAATTCAAACAGCATTTCTTTTGTTTTATCTGCTGCAGAATTGCCTACATCTAAAATCTTAGGTTTCCCAATTTTATAGTAAGCGTATGCATAACTACTGGTAGCCCCGCCACAAAGTTACTTCTTGTTGAGGTGTAGCTACACCATTGCGTGGTCACACCATTTTGTGTGACCCACCTCTCTATACCAGGGTACGTGAACCTCGTTTCAGTTTGATTCGCTCGATGTCACAAACAATACCAAGGAATTTGTGTGCACTAACTACAACCTCTGAACCATCCTTGACGGAGAGGCCGAAAGTTATATCCTTGAAAGTGTATCATGGCTTGGTTTACTGACCGTCCCTGGAATCAAAAGCCACGCATCTGGCTGAGGAGCTGAAAGCGCGGTTGAGTGACATCCTCACTGTTCGCTTAGCGACGTGGACTTGTGTCACTGTGCCGAGGGTCCTTGTGGACCTACGTGTCAAGTTCCTTGACTTTGATAGCGTGGAGCGCTGTCTAGTCGTAGACTTGGATGCAAGGTTTGACCTTATCCTTGGAATAGCATGGATGAAACACCATGATCCATGGATTGATTGAAGGTCGAAGACCTTGGGCGCTATGCGCACGTCTCTTGGTGGAGCTTTGGTGAGTCATGCACTCACCTCTGCTAGGATACAGAAGTGCTATAAGTGCGGGCACTGGACCGGTACGGTCATTTTGCTGGATATCGGAGTATCCGAGTTGTCAAACACCAAAAGTGTTTTGGACAGAAGTCCCGAGCGTGGCTCGCGGGCCGAATGTGGAGTGGCACGTAACCCACTGAGCATTGATCACGTTACGAAGCAGTTGCTGTATAAAGAGTTGCATGGTCGGCTGAGGTCCGAGGCATCTTTGACAAGACCCTTCTGATGCGCGTGGAGTGCCACGTTATCCACTTGACGAAGTTGTCGGAAATAGCAGCTCTTATATAACATCAAGTCTCCGGTAGAGCAGGAAGTGGGGACACTGGATGACGCTCAGTGACTGTTCCCACTGGTTTCGCCAAGGCGTACAACCTCTGTGGAGAGGCGATGGCGACGCCGTATGGTATCTGCAAGACATCGGGCGTCGATCCTGCCCAGGGTGTGTCTACCGTAGACGATAGCGCACAGCTATATACACTTGTCAGCAGTACGACGGGAGAGAAAGACGGCGATGCACCCTCGAGACTATTCCCACGATTGATGCTCTTCTTGAGTTGGGCGAGATGTCCTTTGAAGGGTTTGACGGTGCCTTGAAGGCAGGCAATTTAGCCGAGGTGGTCATTATACGACCGAACGAGGAGATTAACTCGTCGTTGCTTCTGGATAAAGCTGTCCTGGAGGACACCCAAGGGGGCTGAGCGCACGACCAGGATCGTCGATTTAAAAGGATTCCTTAGATCCGTACTTTTCGTGCTTAAGGTATTCCAAGATGTCGTCCTTAAAGACCCGCCGTCGGTCCTACCAACGGACCGAGGTGTGCGTCGTGAGATCGACCTGGTTCCGGGGACCAAATACTGCCTAACACACCAATGGCCCCTGCCCAAGGAGCAGTGTGACGTCATTGACGCTTTTTTTCGTGTGAATACGATGCAAGAATGGTGTGCGAGAGCAAGTCTTTCCATTCGACACCCACGTTTTGTGTCCGGAAGCCGAATGGCAAGTTGCGTATCGTTCACTTCTAATAAGCTAAACGCTGCCATCATTCCGGTACAGACGCCGATTCCTAGGAGGGATGTCCTCCATAACAATGTGGTTGGCTGTACAAGTACAGTGCACTCGACTTGGTCGATGGGTATTACCAATTGCCCATGAGAGCGAGTGATATCCGCTGATAGCGGTAAGTACTCCGAGCGGCATTCTCTGGGAGTAGCTAGTGATGCCCCAAGGACTGTCAAATGCACCAGCAAAATCTAATCGTACTTCGACGACATCGTCGTGCACAGTCGTGCGGGGCACGGGAGGAGAGATGAGGTAAGTCACATCGTTTATTTAAGAGCGGTGCTCGAGTGCATGCGCACGATTAAGCTGTATGCTATTGGCGATTAGTAAATCTTTGGCGCCAAAGTAATCTCCTTTCTAGGGTGCTTCATTGGGAATCGTGGCCTTCGAGCGGATCCCGCTAAGGTCAAGGCCATTGTAAACTGGCCGATTTAAAAAACCCAAAGAACTTGCGCAAGTGGCTTGGCCTCGCCAGCACATTGCACAAGTATAGCACGAATTATGCGGAAGTGGCACGGCCATGGTCGAATCTCCTTAAGAAGGATACGCAATGGTGTTGGAACACCGATCGTCGCGAGGTTTTGACAGGGTTAAAGACAGCCTTCATCTTACACCAAAAATGGAGTTGCCAGACCCCGGGCTTCCCTTCAGTGTCGTCTGTGACGCTTTGGACTTTGCAATCGGCTGTGCACTGCTGCAAGCAGACGCTGAGGGGCGACATTGGGTAATCGCGTTCGAATCTTGCCAGCTTAAAGCTGCAGAGAGAAACTACCAGTTCGCGACAAGGATTTACTTGCTATAAAGTATGCACTTGTCAAGTTCAGGCTTCGACTGCTGGGTTCCAAGCCGTTTATGATCCTCACAGACCATACGTCACTACGCACTGCGACTCAGTTGTCTCACCCCGTAGAGGATGGCCAGGTGGCTCTTCTTCCTCGAAGAATATAATTTCAAAGAAAACTATTAGCCAGGAAAGCAGCATGCTCTGGCTGATGCGTTGTTACGCAGACTGAATTGGGGGTTTGCTCATGTCACGTCGGTGACGCCGTCAGTAATCGATTTTATATATGCCTAGTACGAGGGTGATAATATGTGCGTATCGCTGCTACAGGCTTACGAGAGCACGGAGTTTGGAGACTCGGACATAGGTTGTTGTCGCGACTGCGTACCGATATTCATTGAATGATGGATCTTTGTATTTTAGCACCGACTTGACGAATGCGCCACACATCGTGATTTCTAATGACGATGATTTGAAGTTTCGTATCTTCTATGAGGCCCACGACACCCCACTCAGTGAAATCGCGGTCGTGAGAGGACCTACAGCTCTGTGAGTTGTCATAATTGGTGGTCCAAGCTGTACAAATGGACGAGCAGCTCCTATGTGCGCACGTGTGAGACGTGTTCATGGGTAAAACTCTCTCCGAATGCAGCAGCGCCGCTTGCGAGTGTGCCGGTACCCTCTGGGCGTTGGCAGTCCATGAGTATGGACTTTGAGTTTATCCTGCCAATGGACTCGGCGCCCAGCACGGGTGTGGTGGTCTTCATCGACTGTCTGAGCAAGACGGCTCATCTTGCGGCAGTGCCGGACACTACGACGGGGTTTGTACAGCGACCCTGTTTGTGGAATGTGTCTTTCGACAACATAGACTCCCGAAGTAAATTGGCTCTGACAAAGACCCACGATTTACTGGGAAGTTTTGATCGACGATCTTCAAGGTGCTGAGCACTAAGCTAGATATGTCAAGAGCGGGCCATTTGCATAAAACTGATCAAACTGAGCGCGCGAATCGCGTCGTCGAGGACGCCCTTTGTAATTTCTGCGCTGAGTCGTTGAGTCGCT